ACAGAAATTATTTATTTTTAATAGAGTATAATTTTATTCTTATTTTGTAATCATTTTTGAAATAATAAATTTTAAGAAATTAATTGATATATGTATATTATCTTCTCATGATAAAACTTTCACTCACGCGCACATATATGTCATTCATATAAAATAAATATAAAATGAATATAAAGCTGATATTTAATTAATCGATTACGCTTTCAAAATTATCAAAATTTTCGCTAAAAATTAATAATAAAATTTAAAGAATGTATTATTAATATAAAAAAGCGTAAAATTTAATTAATATAGAAAATCTCAGCACGTCGACAACTTTTTGAAAGAAAAAGAGAAATATTATAAAAAATTTAATTTCTGTTAACAAAATTCAAAAATCAATTATCTTATTTTTCAGAAATGAATTATTTTTTTCATTACAGCATTATTTTATGAATCAATTATCATAAAAAGATAAAAGAAATTGAAATATTCCTAATACTACTACTTTCGTTTGATGACCTATCTCTTAGCAAGTTGAGCCCCGACATAAACGTCCTCTCATCCACCACTAACTTATCCCTGCTTTCTCGTTTACTGCCTTATATTCCTTGTTCTCCAAAGCACGCGCCACAGCATGCGAGAAGCTAGTTTCTCGCGCGATAAAAGTTGCTACGGAATCATCACACTTATGAAAGATATAATACATATTAGAGTTGCCTGAAGTTTACTACATATGCAATATGTCGAAAAATGATATTCTCAATCGATCTATACATTTTTAGATATCAAAAAGGAGTATAACCCAATCCCTTAAGTTAAATAACATTTCGTCATTTTTAACGTCCACGTACGCGTTGAAATACAAATCAATTCATTTCTATTAATTTCAAAGTAAACATCTATTTCAACGTATGCACTTAGTAAATAATGAGTTAAATTTGAGTTAAATAGATGTTTAACTCTATTATTAAATTTACGACATTAAGAAACAGTGGCAACCTATAGAAATCTATAATAAAAAATAACTCAAATTTGGTTTAATTTATGAATTTATTTAATTATGAATTCAATATGCCTGATAAGCAAATAATGCTTTTAATGTCTTTATCTATTATACATATACTCATTTCACTTTTATTAAAGATAAAATAAATTGAGGAAAAAGTAGTTATGATATATTTTAGTATATTTCAGTTTAACAGTTCCGTAAATTAACTGTATGTGTACCATTATGCGGAAATGAAAATGATTAACTCTTTTGTCTGATGTACCATTATGAAAGTTTGAAATATTCGATGTGCCTATAACAAAATTAAACAAAAAAAAACTAAAATACTTATCTTTTTTGCATTAAAAGCAAAAAAACTTTTATTATTTATAAAGTTTATTTCTTTTACTGTATTTTATTTTATATTCGTTTTAAAGTAAATTATTATAAACCAAAGTAGACCAAATATTAATTAGAGATTACATATGAGAGATTGTGTTCGTTTTCACATTTATTCTATTTTTGTTTTTTAATTAGCTATTAAATAAAATTCCTCAGAAAATTATCCAATAGCCAATCAATATACTCCTCGTCATGTAATTAAAATCTTTATCATAAAAAACACAACAATGAAATATAAATCTTTAGCATAAAAACGAATAGAATGCAGCCAGCAAGGCAACCAGAGAACGCAAGTATAAAAAAAAATAGATTTTAGTAAAGTACGGTTGCTATTTCACTGTTAACTGGTTTTTTAAATTCTTTTCTGACAGCGCATATTTCTTTAAGCGTGTCACTAGTGGCACGCGTGCCGTGGATTAGTCATCTCTGCATTAATGCATAGGCCTGTTCTTTTTGACTAAATTTCTTGCACAATTTATATTTTCTCCTTTTCTCTTTAAGTTGGAGAATGCAAAAAATTTAGCTAAAAAGAATAAACTGCCAAATATAAGAGATTATTATTGTGATATAATAAATAAAAAATTTCAAGAAACATTTTAAAAAATTTTATCTCAAAAATTGAAATAGGGAGGTGGCCGATTTGATAGAGAATGTCTCATATGTATACCTATATTATTTATTATTTTTATTATTGTAAAATTAAAAAATTATATATTTTCCAATATATCGACTTTGAGAGGATAACATAGTGTTCTGTTGTATAGAAAGGCTACCAACGAACTGTAAGAAAGCTCGCAAGAAATCGCTAAGCAAAACCTCATGCGAAAAAAGTCAATAAAAACTCAATGTGAAGTATTTATATTGAAATTTTTCTTATTTCTTATTTTTAATGATTTATAAAATATCCATCTTGCGCAGTTTTTATTATCTTATTGTATTATGACAGTTTATAATTATTCTTTTTATGTATCTATTTATGTTTATTAACTATTAAAATAAAATCACACAAAAAAACTAAATTATATATGGGTAAATTATATAATGGGTAATAACCGCTGTGTGTGTGTGATTTTTATTAAAAAAAAATAAGTAGTAAGACATTACTCACACAAGTTGCGTTACTCTAAATTCATGGCCGCACTCCGTACACAATTTGTCTGACTGCAATCAATATTGGCTGACTGCAACTTGTTGCACCTGCAAACATGTTTAACATAAAATTACATTTTAAAGATCTACAAATGTAGTATTTTTTATGATTGTAAATTGATAAAAAAAAATTATAAAAATATTTATAAAATTAATTTTAAACTATTTCAAATCATTTATTATACATATATTTATATTTTTATATCATTATATACTTTAACATGCAATTAAAATAAAAAATATTAAAAGATAAAAATTAATTTAATTTTACTAAGTTTTATTAATTATTTGATTAAATAATGTAATAATATTCTAAAAACCTCTCGATTTTGGAAGAATCTTTTCAGATCAGATTTTAAACTTTAATCTCTAATTTTATGATACTGTAAATCTAATCTTATTTGTTTCGGATATATTTCTAATCAAAATATATATAGAGTAATATAGTGTTTGACA